GAACACAGGTCTACGTCTCCACCCCAGGGCCAACGACACTACTTGGGTGCTGCATTCTGTACATGCTAGGTTTTAAATTTTTTTGACTCAATCTACACAGATAGCACAAACGATTTTGCTATAGTTCCAGAACAAAATGAAAATGCCATACGCCTGGTAAAAGTAAAGGTAGGATGGATGGAGGCTCAGCATGAGGCAAGAGAGCTGGAGGGGAAATGCGGAGCCACTGCATTCTCAGTTTACATGAGAGTGTCATGAGATGACTCTCAGAATTAAGGGCTTAAGAAACAGTTTCAAATATTAGTATTTTAAAACCATAAATGTAACTAAGAAAAAAAATTAAAACAAAATACAGGTATGGGGGGAGTGGATAGAATATGTGAGCCACATTCCTCATTTGTCATATTACAGAATAGATGCTTTTTTAAAATAGGTAACAAATACAGATGAAAGCATATTATCTACGAGGCAACTACCAAAACAGCTTTAAAAACAAAGTGGGGGAAAAAGAAAGAGTAGAAGAAAAATGCAATAAGCAAAAGTCACTGCCACTGGGAAGGCTCATGAGGTTGAGAGAGAGACTAAAGTGTGTGCCCCAAAGAGAAAGGATGGAAGTGAGCCTCACTTTGGGCAACGTACACTTCAGGCAAGCTTATATTTTTCAGATAATATACATGTATTATTTTGGTAATAACTTCAAATTCATATTTAAAATAAAAAATAAATGCCTACATCTGGAGACTAAAGGCTAATCAGTCCCCCCTCCCCCATTAGGCTGGGTACAGTGTTTTGCTTAAGTTAATAATTACTCAGTGCTGACGAGTGTGTGGGAGGCGAGTGCTAACCCACTGCAGAGGAAAATGTGAACTGGAGCAATCTTTCAGTTATTAAGCAATCTGTTAAACAGGGATTTTAGTTTTGTTCAATACTCTATCCCTAAGACCTAGAACAATGCCTGGCACAAAACAACCACTCATATATTTACTGAATAATGAAGAAACGTGTATGCACTTTTGAGTATGAAACACAAAGAAAAAAATCATTAGTAAATGTTACCAAACTGAGAGCATATTGCTTGGGATTACAGATGCTCTTTCTTCCCCCTTCTTCTCACTTTTCTACAGATAACATTTAATAAGCAGCAGGATGAAAAAGGAGCTTTTCAGTCCCTACCAGATGTAAACCCAATAATGTGTACTTACCCAACCCTTTTTTTTTTTTAATTTCACTATCCGTGTTTTTCCTTTTCTGTAGTTATACTTGGTTTCTGTTCAAATAGGAATGTCTCTACTTCCTACTTTCCTCTTTAATCACAATGGTTTCTTCCCCCTCTTTTATCTTTTAAACAAACCGATTCTATAGTTTCAGAGCATTCTATTATCTTTAGTTCCTTGGGTCTCACTTGCTCTACTTGTTGTGTATGCCGACTCTCCTTTCCATGGAATTTCCTTCCTTTTTACACTTTATATCATTTTATGGATTTTAGGGGTTACTGATTCATTTATTCATATGGGAGTCCTCTACGCCTTGGCCTATGAAAGGGTCCCTCTCGCGGGGTGGTTCTACATTGACTTTGGCAATTAACCTGTGGGGTTTTACCAGCCTGGCACTAACCAGACTTGTGTCACTTTCTACATATCATGTGACGATACACCTGGACATTTGGACCTCCACCCCATTTGTGCTGCAGGCTTGGGTTTCAATTCTACATGAGTGAGTCTCCCCACCCCTGCCACCCCCCACTCTCCAGAGCTCTGGAAAACCAGTGTGTCAACCCCTAGCCCCATCACCTCCTCTCCTGGCCTCCATCTGATTCTAAAGCATCTAAACTATGTGCCCTTGGGCACGATCTTTAATATCTCTGAAGTTCATTTCCTTTATCTTTAAAAAGTCTATAGATCAATAGAGGACATGGGGAGTAAGATTTTTTTAACTTCCAAGAGTTAAAGTTAGCGGATTTCTCTTTTTAGCATCCCGCAGCCTGTCACTTCCTCACACACTTCCTAGGTCACCTGTTCTACAGGTTGAGGGACAGTCTCACTCAACTTCAGAGGCTCTCTGACATTCCTTCCTTCTGGACTTTGACCAAAACAGAGACTGACAGACCCTGGCTATCTGATACTGCCCTAGGAACACCTCAAAGAACTACCTTCCCCAATGAAGCCACCGTCCTGTCAGAGTGCTCCACCTGAGCAGTTCAGAAAGCCATGCTGGCCACCGAGTGCAGCAGTCTGGAGAGGACAGGTGTGGCGAGAGGCAAGTGGGATGGCACTATCACCCACCCCTTCGCGAATACAGGCATATGGTTAGCCCAGGTGAGGTTCCTGCGGGCCCTCCTTGTTCTCTTTGCAGTTCCACAAATATTCTAACGGCTGATTGCAATGGAAGAGTCACCACTGGTGACTCGCTGTCTCCTCGTTAAGCCACAGCACACCTCATGTCACACACAGCCCAGAGCCTCTCAACAATCACCAGCTACTGCGCTAACCCTTGAAAAGCTCCTGGAAGCTGCAACCGCTCCCAGAAAGCAGCAGAGAACAGACACTAGAGAAGCACAGTCCCTCTTCCTTTCACGATTCTGATGAACAGACGGTGAGAATCCAGATTTTAATTCTCAGCCACAGATTCTGCCCACTGTTCACGTTCTCCCATACTCCACCCAACACCCGAAACCTCGGTCACTGATTCAAGATCCCTGCAATCAGCAACAGCGTGCAAATAATTCTAACTTGTTTTTCCCTAGAATCTCCCACCTGCGACCCATGTGAAGTCCCTGCTCAGAGGCAAAGTCTAAGGCTCTCTTCCCACGGCAGCAACACTTTCCTTGGGCCTAACTGGAGATGATGAACCATCTGACCTCACTGATCTCAGGTGACGCCACCTGAGTATCACTGGAGATGCACTCAAAGTCACTGTCAGCATTTCCGTTTCTCCAGGGGACTGTTTCCGGAGCACTAAGACAGTGTAAGTCACTTAATCCATTTTTTAAAACCCCTATGTGGGAAGAGGTATGCCTATCAACCGAATTCAAACAGAAGCACTATCCTACTCTCTCTGCTTCCTTTCCCTATGGTCTTCCAAGTGTGGGCAGTGATTTGATGACAGATGAAGGATCTATATAAGTAAACTGCAAGAGTATTTTTAAAACGATAAAAATGTGCCACCATTTCTCTGTGAAGACAGCAAAAGAGGACTTTCCAAAAGTCAGTAAAAACTTGCATGCTTTACCCTCCATGGTAAGCAACAGCATCTGTTGCCTGTTTCAACTTTCTGATCAGTCCATCTTGATTTATGTATCTAAACCAGTACTTGGCACTTCCTTTTTGCATACCTGGGTAAAATGCAACTTCTTTACCCTGCCTTGCAAGGCCCTACAAGATTCTGTCCCTTTCTTAATGGTTATCTTTCTAAACTTATCTCTCACTGATATGCTTTATAAACCAACCAGGCTAGTTTCCTCCCTGTTCCTCAAACAATCTGTATTTTCCGCAACCACACCCTTGCTCATACCATGCCCTGTCCCAGAATTCTATTAACCAGAATCCTAGTTAATAGAACAAGTTCAACTAAGAACAAGTTCAACTTCCCCCCTCCTCCAGGAAGTCCTCACCAGCACAGCTGACAGTGGCCATTCCCCTTCCTTCAGTCACTCACAGACACGATTCTCCATGACCAAAGGATAAGCTACTAAAGGGCAGGAACTGTGTCTTTGACTTCTTTGTACCCTCACAGTGCTCAGGACATAGTAAGTGCTCATTAAATATATTTGTTCAATGCACACATTCACACCTGCAGAATAACATCGCACTAAACAACTAGTACGAGCCATTTTTACCAGGGCAAACAAGGAACGGAAGGCTGACAGTATCATTTTGATTTGCCTCAGGTACAAGGGAAAACTACTCAAAACCTACAAGTAAAGAGGAACCAGACTCACCCACCAGTAAGTCAGCAGAGGACTATACAGACATTTGATTTACATAGCAAAGTAAAAATCAGGTTTTCTCCAAGTAAAAAAAAAAAAAGCCTTAATCAGCACAAAATCACCATGTGGCATTCCAACTTAAGGCTATGCCAAGCAGCAGTTCTGATCAGCATTCCCTGTCTGAGAAATAGTGAACAGATGATTAAGTGCCCCAAACCGAAAGCCCAGCATAGTTAGGCGTTTACACTACATGATAAATAGCCAACTGGGACGTGTGATAAAAGCAGAATGACTTTTCAAAGTAACTTAGCTATTTTAAACTTTACTAACAGTCCCCAACTATTGAAATATTTAACATGTATTCATTTTTAATGTAAAGGGATTATTAAATGGTTGCATACACACTGCATTCTTGATATACCTAAATATTAGGGGTCTACTATATAATCCCACTAGCATGTGTCAAAAATGTATAGTTATTACTTGATTTTTTCAGCTGAACAACAGCTGCATTAGGTCAGATTCCCTGTCCACCCAAAGCAGAAATCAGTCTCAGGCAGTGAAGGAAGTCAGGTTTGTCCTTCCAAATGTCAACTTCAAGGTCAGGGATATGATGATGATGATGATGATAAGAACAGCCGCAAACACTTTGTAGCAGTTATTACATGCACAGCATGGTTCTGAGAGCCTTACACGGGTCAATTTACTTATCCTCAGAAGAATTCTGAGACATGGACCACTATAACCTCATTTTCCACACAGAAAACCAAGCCACAGATACATTAGATAATTTACTCAAGGTCACACATCTCATAAGTTACGAGGCCTGACTCCAAATTCAGGAAGTCCAGCTCGAGCCCAGGCTCCATACCATATGCAATATCCCTTTCCTAATTCCCAAGGCATGCTAATTAATATTCCCTAAGATGAAGAAATATAGGATGTGACTCTTGCAGTCTGTTCTCGGTGATTTCAAGTAGGTTCTCGCTTTGAACAACTCCCAGCTTCCGAGATTTGAAATGCCAGTAGTGGTTCATCTCTGTGACCTTGAGGAGGGAGGGAGGGAAACACTTACTAGTATCTGGAGTTTTCTCTTCAGATTTGCCAAATAAAAATTCGTATTTGGCCTTGGCAACACTCTGGGAATGTGCTGATGCATTGTTAACCCAAACAAACGTCTCTGCCTGCAAAATCAGAACAAAACAAAAGCATCATTAAAAATATATCCTAAAGCAAACCCACCAACAAGAAGTTGGTTGAGTGCCACACAACCACGAAAGCTGAAACATGAAAACATACCCCAACAAAAATCAGAATACAAGAGGATGGCTGCAAGATTACAATTATATAAAAAAAAACAAACACATGAACATATATAGGGGAATAAGAAAAATATGTACAGTATGGCTTGATAAGAAGGCAGAATTATAGTAGAATTTTTAACAATCAGGTTTACATTACTTTTTTGCGATCAGAAAACTGTACTTTATTTTTAGACACATCATTTTTCAAGCGATTATCATCACCCACAGCCGGGGCCAGGGACATGTCTGCTATGTGTGTGCCAACAAAAAGGAGTCTTTTTCAAGAGACAACGTTTTTATTTAATCAGGAACTTCATTCAGCCAAACAAGGCAGAGAAGTGCCAGGCATCCCGTTTATGCTAATTGTCTTAAATCTGAGCATCTGTCCCAGTGTCCTTTGGAATTCTTAAAAGTCCCTTATTTGAAAGAAAAGCTAGAAAGGTGACTGTGAAAGTGGCTCACACCATGATCCTGAATTCCTACAACCTTCTTCCTCGTTGCTTTAGACAACTGACAAAAAGCAGGAGGGCCTCCCTTCCCTGGCCTAGGGTTAATTAAAAGTAAGTAATAAAGTAGAAATTTCAAAACACAGAGAAATTTGACCCAGTCCAATCAGGGGGTCATTATTCTGCCTCTTTCAGGATCCAGACGTTACCCACACTGGTTTCCACCCTCTAACTTAATGAGACCTCTTTCCTGTGTCTGAGCAGCAAATGACCATTCACTTTTAGGAGAGAGGGATACGAAGAGTTTTATCAGCAACCAGGCAACTACTTCAAAGAGGGAAACTATGACATCTATTATGTCCTTTGGAGCAGAAATGATGGACAGCGGTGAGAAGGCCCACGACTGGGTTGTGAGGAACTCCATCACCCTACTGCAGACAGGCTCAGTGGGCAGGCCTCTCTCTGTTCGTGCATACCGATATCAAAGAGCTAGCTTGTACAGTTTTTGAGATTAGCAATTTCTTAAAATAGCTCTACAATCACTTCATGTTCATAATGTGTAAAATTTATCTTTCTGGGAGAGGTGCACACTCCCCTTGGAGTTACATGCTTGATCGTCGCAGGTCGTTAATTATCCTGTTCCCCAACAGAGAAGAAATGCTAATTTTTCATGTGTTTAGGGAGATTCGGGCTGGTAAAAGAGGAACTGGGTGCCCTAATTTAGGTAGCGTAGTTAGGGAAGACTCTCTGAGGAGCTAATACGTGCAGAGTCCAGAAGGATGAGAGGCTGGGGAGGGACAGAAACAGCCATCTAAGCAGAGGGAGGGTCACACGCAATGGCCTTAAAGTACGAAAGGACTACAGAAATAACCAAGAGAGGCCGATGTGGCCACAGAAGAGCAGGTAAATGGGCAAGTTTAAAGGCTGACCAGGAGCACAGCACGGCAGGGTGTGATGCTGCGGAGGAGGCAGGGGCCAAACACACAGGGTGTGTAGGTCAAGGAAAGGTTTGATGCAAAGACCCAAAGGGTTTTAAACATACAGTGGTCCCTTAACATTTTTCAAAGATCGTTTACACTTTTCAAAGACTATACAGTTGCTATAGGGAGAAAGGATTATAGTGAATCAAGGGGAAGCAGGGACACCAGTTAGGAATCCAGATGAGGGAGTATGGAAGCTTAGCGTAGGGTAATGGCCATGGAAACAGAAGCAGATGAATTTGAAATATATTTTGTAGGCAGGATCTACATTAATTTTCTGATAAAGTTGATTTAAGGAATGAGGGAAAGGAAGAAATCAAAGATAATTATAATGAATCATATTTGCTAACCACTTACTCCAGGCCAGACACTGTTCTAATGAGATACATGGGCTCTCTCATTCAATGCTCAGAACAGTCCTCTTGAGGCGGGCACTACAAACATCCCAGTCTCACAGGCAGAGAATAGGAGACGACAAGCAGAAAAATAACTTATTCAAGGTTATACAGCCAGTAAATGGTGATCCCAGATTCATATCCTGAATCCAGACCCTGACCCAGAGAATGACTCCCAGGATCTGGCTTAAACAGCTGGGTGCATGGATCGAGATGGGGGGAGTAGAGAAGGAACATTATCAATAGCACGGATTTTCCAGGTCATCTCCCAAGGTCTGCGTAAAAGAAAATTCTAAAAAAAAATTAAATAAATAAATCAATTCCTATGGTGCTAGGGGGTAAAAAAAAAAAAAAATATGCCACTGAAGCACCAGTTTTAAGAAATTTCAGGAAGATATTTTTTCTGGTGTACCTAAACCAGACCCTAAACCCTGAGCGCTATTCTCTGAAGAAAGGTTCCTCTTGAGCAAAGGTTTTTAACCTCAGTTCCATGGGGGTCTAGCAATAGAATCCTAGAATTCTGAAGTTAGATGGGGGGAAAAAATTCATCTTTACTTTCACTTACTTTAAGCTGAAAATAAGCTTTTTTTCCCAAATATAAACCACAGTATTATCATGAGTGACTCTAACTTTGTCACCAACAGAAGTCATAACCATTTTCACATCACATTAACAGTTACTGCAGGTATTTTTAACTCTCATTTACACCCATCCCTACTTTGAAATGACAGTAGTTACTAGACCCACCACTAAATCTTATTATAAATAAATATATTACCACATCACAAATTTGTGAAATATTTTGGTAGCCAATTGGTTTCTTTTGTAGCTCCACATATATTATTTATGCACTTAAGAAGCATTATTCTCACAAGAGATCCAGAGCTTTAGCAGGCTGTCAAAAGGGGCCATAGCACAAAAGTAGATTAAGAGACCCTACTCAAGAGCATCGGGCCTCAAACTGCAGGTTATGACCCATTCATTAGTGGCTTGTGTAATCAGCTATGTGGGTCATGACCAGACTTTTATATAAATAAATTTATACACACATATATTTAACAGAATAAAACTGAAAAGACCAGAATAAATAGCACATGTAAGAGAAGCAATATTTTATAAAACTTCTAAGTTTGAGTGTGTGTATGTTTGTGTGTTTGTGTTTGTGTGTGTGTGTATTGGGTAGTGAGGTAAAATGTATTTCTCCCCATGAGTCATGATCAAAACTGTTGGAAACATATTGCTCTACAGAGGTTCTCAAAGTCTGGCATGAATGAGCACCTCCCACAGAGCTTGTTAAAACACATGGTAGGGGGCTGACCCAGAGTTTCTGATTCAGTAGGCATGGGATGTCTGGCCTGAGAATTGGCATCTTCTAGCAATTTTGCAGGTGATGCAGCTGATCCAGGGACCAAATTTTGTGAACCACTGATCTAGACCAGTGTGTCCCATACTTTACTGTATGTATGAATCACCTGTGAATCTTGTTTAAATATAGACTGAGCAGATCTGGGTGGGGCCAGACTACATTTGTAAAGCATTCCACAGAGCACACTTATGCTAAGGCTTGAAAGTGAAACGTGTCCAAAGCATATACAGACTCTCAGAAAAGAGAAACTTTTTAAAGAGATGCTCTGACCAGGAGTAAAATATACTAAAGGGTTCCACTCTACTAAGTATCCCACACTGAGACAATTGTGAGGGACCCTGACTGTGAATTAGGCCCAATCAAAGTATCAGCATTCCCCCAACCGGCCTAGTGAAAGAAAACTCATTCTGCTCAGCTGAGTTATTCTCAAGGCTGAGAGCCCACTGATGCATCCTCTCCCCATGCCAAGGGTCATAAATCTTCACCCGTTTCTACAATTTTTGCAGGTCTTTGACCAATCATATTTGAAACAATCAGCTTGACAGAAGACCCAAATGATGATTCAGATTTAAATCCCAGCTGGGACTTTTTCCGCTCAATCCCACACAAACATTTAGTCTTTGGACTTCAGCTTCCCTACTGATACAGAGTGCTATTCAAATTTATCCCTAAGGGCCCTTCTAACTCCCAAGCACAGAAATTCTTCACCCCTCTGATCCACCTTCACAGGTATTTCATCAAGGAGGAATCACAAAAATGTTTTCCTTGTAGTAAAACTACGATGACATGATCACCAAAACAGGCCTGCACTTAAAGAGCAAGTCAACCGTTAACGTGGACCGGATAAACAGACTCCTCGCACCCTCACATTTTTCATGGTTTTTCCAATAGACAAAGAATTTTCACTTGCATTATCCAACTCTCAACATGTTACTGATTATAGTTACCAATTTTAGATGCAAGAGAAACACTATTGATGTATTGCCTAGCTACAAAAAAATTCAGGACAAAGCAGAAAGCTGCAAACAAGTATTAGAAGCAATGAAGTTGAGAGAGCAGTTGACATCTTGTTCCCTGGCATATGTCGTCAGTTTGGCTCAAGTAAATTCTTATAAAAATTCTCAAAAAAAAAAAAAGAAAGTAATCACGTTCATTTGGAAGGGAAGAAAGGGCTCAGAGGAGAGTGTGGTGGAGGTAGGGGTTGAGAGCAGAGCTTGAGGAGGGTGGCAGGCTCCTTCATTTCCTGACATTTCAAGTTCAGTATGATGCTCAGAGGATGCGAGACCCTCCTAGTCGGTCAGAGTTGAGTGTTACAAGGTGCTTTAGGCCAGAGGAGATTAAAAGCTAAATGAAAGAGTATAAAGACAGCATTTCACGACTCACTCAAAACCAACACTGGATTCCAACATTCCCGCTCCAAGTCCTCTTCAACCCCATCTGCTCCTATCACCCGGCAGAAGTCAGGCCCATGGAAAGGGCACTGCACACGCCCACTTGGTGCTAACGCTACGAAAGGTGATGGTCACCTTTCCCCCAAAATGTATATGCTGAAGTCCTAAACCAAGTGACTTTGATGTGGCTCCATCTGGGTCTATAGGGTCATTAGGATGGGACCTAATCGAATAACGCTGGTGTCCTGGGGGAAGAGGTAGGACACAGACACCCAGAAGGAAGACCGTATGAAGAAACAGGGAGAGGGAGGCCATCTGCAAGCCAAG